CCTTCCTTCCTTCCTCCTTCCTTCTTTTCTTTTCTTTCTTTTCTTTTCTTTTCTTTTCTTTTCTTTTCTTTTCTTTTCTTTTCTTTTCTTTTCTTTTCTTTTCTTTTCTTTTCTTTTCGACACAGGATCTCACTTTGTTGCCCAGGCTGGAGTGCAGTGATGGGATCACAGTTCACTGCAGCCTCGATCTCCCAGGCTCAAGCCATCCTCCCATCTTACCCTCTCAAACAGCTGAGACTACAGGCACATGCCACCATGCCTGGCTAATTTTTTTGTGTATTTTGTAGAGATGGGGTTTTACTATGTTGCTCAAGCTGGTCTTGAACTCCTGACCTTGAGTGATCTGCCCACCTCAGCCTCCCAAAGTCTTGAGATTACAGGCGTGAGCCACTGCGCCCAGCCTTTGTTCACATTTTTTACCAGCAAGCAGTCCTTTTTGTGGTGGTTCCCTAGTGTGAGAGGAAAAAGTGGGAAAGGGTCTGGAGGATAAGCAAGCATTAGAATGAGAGATATGGCTTGTTGACTTCCCACACTCATTAGCTCATTTCTTTTCTTAGATGCTCTTTTTGCTCATTGCACTATTGTAAATACAGCACTTACTATGTGATAGGAGACTACTGTTCAGGCTTCTGTCTCTGCAAGTGGACTAGTACCACCACCCCTAGCCTACATCTTTAAACATAGGACACCACTAGTTACTTAAGTGGCATCGCTGTACTTTTGCATTTCTGTTCAAACCTACTGCAGAAATGTGACCTGAGAGTCTTCAGTAACAGTGGCTCACTCTGAAATTGGTAGTTTCCAAAATACTCCCGCCATCCTCTCTATCATTCCCCCCTTCCCCTTGTTAAAAATCACTGAATTAGAATATGAGCTCTTTAAAGTCAGAGATGTGCTTTTCTTTGATTCCAAACACCTAACACATGACTGGGACAGTGCTGCACATGTAGAAGAATGCCTGAGGTCACCGGCTTGTTTGCGAGAGGGCCAGGACCAGAACTCAGGCAGTCTCAATTTCTAGAATGCCACACTCTTCAACCGCTGTCACTTTTCCAGTTTTATCTCTGGGATGATTTAGTACTGTTGATTTTTTTTCTAAGGTTTTTTTTTTTTTATTTCACAAATAATAGCTGAGTACTTTTATTGTACTCAGCTATTTAATATTTTAATAAAATATTAAAAATATTTTAATATTTTATTAGACATTTAATATTGATAGGATTTTAAATGCAAAACCACTTGGCAGAATAACAGTTTTCATTTTAGCATCCATAATTATTCATTGATTCACTTATCAAGAATGCCAGCATCGGCCGGGGGCGGTGGCTCACGCCTGTAATCCTAGTACTTTGAGAGGCCGAGGCGGGTGGATCACGAGGTCAAGAGATCGAGCCCATCCAGGCCAACATGGTGAAACCGCGTCTCTATTAAAAATACAAAAATTAGCTGGACGTGGTGGCGTGCACCTGTAGTCCCAGCTACACGGGAGGCTGAGGCAGGAGAATTGCTTGAACCCAGGAGGCGGAGGTTGCAGGGAGCCAAGATCGCGCCACTGCACTCCAGCCTGGTGCCTGGCTACAGAACAAGACTCTGTCTCAAAGAAAAAGAAAAAAAAAAAAAGAATGCCAGCACTTTGGCTTTGATAGCCTCTTAGCTTTAATAGTGTTCCTTTTTCATGTGCTTTTAGGATTTGCAAGTAATGTGAGCTAAGATTAAAGGCATGTCTTCTGCCTAACAGATGGAGAAAATTAAAACAGCATTCTGAATAATTAGACACAGATAAGAATGTTCTTAGCATTGTAGTTATTTCTAAAGACACATTTTTTCTTCACTGGAAAATTAAAATGTTTTCCTTTGGGTTCCATACTCATTTAAATCAAAATGGCTATCTCTTGAGAGGAAAACCACTGCTCCTGAGTGATACTAGCACTCGCTGCTATGTAACCAGTCTTGTATTATTTCATCCCAGTGTTTTTATTATTATGGATCCAAGTTCTCACTCTGCTTTATTATCTTAGGCATTTCCAATTTGTTAAGGATTTTAACTGGTTTATATATGACAAAATGTTATCCCTCTAATTTTCTCCAGAAATGCTGGATGCACATTTTTCTAAAGTGATTTATTTTGTAAAGAATCCTTTTCTTTTTCTTTCTGTAATGATCTGGCAGATGACAATGTAACATCATTTATTTCTTCCTCAAATGAGTTTCTGGTTTTCCATTTGCCTTACTCTTAGACTATCCCACCATTTCATCTCATCTCAGATGAAATGAAGAGCCAGCAGCCTTTTTGTTCCAATAAACAAGTAAATGTCACACATAGTATTGTCTCCCAAGACCAGGCACTGCCTTAGATACCAAGGCTTCAGAGAAGAAGAAGAGAGGCTCCACTCTGGAGAAGGTCCCTGTGTGTAGGGAAGCTGTCAGGTAAATTGCTGACCACCATTCTTGTGACAGATGCTGCCGAACACATGATACAGGGGGACATGGGGCACAAAGGAGGGACCAACTGGTCAACTCTGTGTGGGAGTTCAGAGAGGGTGTCTTAGGGAAGGAGAGCCTTGAGATGAGTCTGGAAAGATGATTAATTTGTTAGAAATAAGGGGAAGGGAGAACTGTGGGCATGCACAGAGCATGGAGATGTGACATAGCATGGTACTTGGGGAAACTGTGAGTTGTTCCATTTGGCTGGAGGGCTTAGGCACTGAGGCAGAGGCCAGAGGATGGCCTCAGAGCTGCAGAGACTCACAGTGCATTTTTCTTCTGGAGCGTATCCTTGGAAGTTAGTGTACTTTTCGTAAGACATGGTGGAGTGGACTGTGGACGAAAGGAAAGCATATTGTAATTGCAAATCTTTAAAATGTTAACTGGGGTTGATGGAGTAATTGTGAAGGATCTAGGTGATCATAGTCAACAAAATAAAATAAAATAGGATCCTTCCTCCCTCCCAAATCCCCAGAATCTATTTGCCAGTGGAAATACAGCTTTTGAAAAGAGGTATGAAGCAAACCAATTCTTGACTGATGTCACTTTCAGCTCTCTCCCCAGCCTTCGTGTGTTTACCTGGGGATGATGTGGACCTGGGCACTGTGGCTGTTCCCTTTACTCTGCAAATTCAGCCTGGCAGGTAGGTTGGCCTGGGCCCTTTTACAGATCATGTCTTTATTCTTGCCTTCTTTGGACAACTGTTGTTAACTTTAAAGGGACACCTGAATTGTAGATATCCACAGATAGAAAAGGGGACTTGTGAACACCCTGAATGTGTGTGTGTGTGTGTGTGTGTGTGCACACGCATGCAATTTCACATATACTCGTGCATGTGCAAATGTGGTAAGTGGCTTATCACATTTTCAAAGGGAGACATGACCCCCAAAATGCTGAGATCCACTGTTTTAGAATATAGTAGTCTTCCCTTATCTGTAGGAGAATATGTTCCAACACCCCCAGTGGATGCCTGAAACTGTGGATAGTACTGAACCCTATATATACTATACTTTTTCCTTCACAATCATACCTGTGATGAAGCTTAGGCATGTTTAGGCATAAAGAGATTAAAACAACAACTAACAATAAAGTAGAACCATTATAACAATTGACTATAACAAAAGTTAATTGAGGCTGGGCACAGTGGCTTACACCTGTAATCCCAGCAATTTAGAAGGCCGAGGTGGGCAGATTATTTGAGATCAGGAGTTTGAGAGCAGCCTGGCCAACATGGTGAAACCGCGTCTCTACTAAAAATATAAAAATTAACTGAGTGTAGTAGTGTATGCTTGTAATCCCAGCTACTTGGGAGGCTGCGATGGGAAGATCACTTGAACCCGGGAGGCGGAGGTTGCAGTGAGCTGAGATCATGTCACTGCACCCCGGCCTCGGCCAGAGTAAGACCCTGTCTCAAAAAAAAAGTTATGTGACTATGGTCTCTCCCCCTTTCTCTCTCTCTAAATATCTCATTGTACTGCACTCACCCATTTTCAGATGGCATTGATCACTGGTAACTGAAACCACAGAGAGTGAAACCACAGATAAGAGGGAACTGCTGTAATAAGTGCTTATCTCTATAGTTTTTGTGTTGTTGTTATGGCTTCATATAATATACATACATAAATACAAAAATAAGCGGTTTTCATACTATTCACCATAAATTCCAAGGATTTAAAGGGAAATAATGAAACAACATATTTCTATAGTGTTCCAACTCAAGACTACAGGCCTAATATCCATACAATAGCTTGTGGCTATAAGATCCATTAGTTTGATTACATCTTATGTTTTAAAAACATTCAGAGCAGAGACACTGGTTTGGCAGTAAGAAGGTGGAGAAGGCGTCGTGCAGTGTATTTGTGTGCTTGGGCTGCCATTAACAAAATACCTCAGCCTGGGTGGCTTAAGCAACAGAAATGTATTTTCTCACAGTTCTGGAGGCTGGAAGTCCATTGTCAAGGCGGCAGCAGGGCTACTTTGCAGGTGGCCCTCCTCTTGCTGCCTCTTTACATGGTCGTCCCTCTGTGCCTGCACAACCCTGGTATCTCTCCTTCTTCTAAGGACGCCAGTGAGATTGGATTAGGTCCCATTGTAATGGTCTCATTTTAACTTACTTATCTCTTTAAGGGCCTATCTCCAAATATAGTCACATTTTAAGGTACTGGGGTTACGGCTTCATTACATGAATTTTGGAAAGACATAATTTAGCCCATAACATGTAGTATTTGGGGTCCAAGAGAGCAGTCATGATGCAGAGATAATGAGAATGCCTTCAGACTTCTGACCTGGCATGGCCTGCCTTAGCCCCCTGGGGTTACACCTGTGGTACTCAGGTGCTCGATAGACCAGGGGTCTCCAACCCCCAAGCTACAGACTGGTACAGGTTTGTGGCCTGTTGGGAACTGGGCTGCCCAGCAGGAGATGAGTTGCAGGAGAGCCAAAGTTACTGTCTGAGCTCCATCTCTGTCAGATCAGTGGCAGCATTAGATTCTCATCGGACCATGAACCCTATTGTGAACTGTGCATGTGAGGGGTCTATTAATAGCTTGCATGCTCCTTATGAGAATCTAATGCCTGATGATCTGAGGTGGAAGTTTCATCCTGAAACCATCTGTTCCCCACGTCCATGGAAAAATTATCTTCCATTAAACTGCTCCCTGGTGCCAGAAAGGTAGGGGCCTGCTGTGATAGACAATAGATGCTACAGGTGGGCAGGACTGTTGCTCTCCCTCTCATCAGCACATGTTCACAGTCATCCAATCTAAACTTCTAATTACAGACACTGTGGCTCCTATGAAGTCATCCTTTTTCTCAATTTGTCTTTTTCTGTTTTCTATCTCTGTTTCCATTCTTCTTATTCTGTATATTTACCAGCTCCTACAACACTGGCTCCAATGTCCACCATTCTTCCCATCTAGAATATCCTTCCCTTGGCCCTGCTCAGCCTTGCTCTTCTTCTATGTCAAGATATTTTTCAAAACTCTGACTCTGCAACAGCACCAAAGTGATATGAGCATAGAGGGAAGAGGGGAGATGGAGAACATCTTTATAATTTTGCAAAATGTTCCTCCTGCATATGGGAAATTCTCTGATAAGAACAATTTCCCAATCTTTCTTAGAGGAAAGTCATGAATGTTTTTTCCCTTATTTCTAGAAATAGGGAAATATTTCTGTGGTTTGTATTTTCAGGGTGTAGGGAGAGATAGATGGGAGTGACCAGCAAACCTAACCTTCAGTTGTTTGTGTTTATAAAAAAAAAATTCTATTTTTAGATTTGTAGAAAAATTGTGAAAATAACATGGAGAGTTCCTTTCTACCCTCATCCAGTTTCTCCATTGTTAATATCTTATAATACCATAATACATTTGCCAAAACTAAGAAACTGCTGTTGGCACATTACTATTGACTGAATTCCAAATTTTGTTCGGACTTCACTAGTTTTTTCCATGAATGACTTTTTCTATTCCACAATCCAATTTAGAGACCATATTGCATTGAATTGTCATGTCTCCCAGGTCTCTGCTGGACTGTGACAGGTTCTTAGTTTTTCCTTAGTATTCATGAACTTGGCAGTCTTGAGGAGTACTGACAAGTATTTCTGGGTTTGCGGGGAAAATACAACAGAGGTGAAGTTTTCTCCTTTGCTCGATCATGATTTTACCCATGTTTGTGACAATCTTCTGATGGAGAGTTGAATAAGACTTAAAACTGGCACACTGGTCGTCAACAAGGAGGAAGGCAGGACAACAGATGTGTAGGCTCAACCAGCCAAGGCAGTTCTAGCACACAGAGCCAAGGTCGTTCAGATATGTGTAATCACTCCAGGTAACTGACACTGGAAATAGAAAAGAAAAGCATGAAAGTAGAAGTGATTGTTGATTTGGTTCAATTTTATTGCAGCTCCCCTCAACTCCCTAATCTGTGATCAGATGAATCTGAAATGCTCATATGCAGAATTAAAAGGTCATGAGGACACAAAACTAGGGAAAACTACTGTTAAATTCCTCCTCCAAGTGTGAGATTACTGGATTTTCAGAGCAGGTTATATTGATACTAGCCAGGGAAAGTCGTTTATGCTGTAATAATAAATAAGCCTAAAATATTAGTATTTAAAACAGCAAACTACATGTCCATCACAGGTAAGTAGGGACCCAGGCTGGTGGGGTTCCACTGTCCTCAGACACACCATGTCAGCATGTGTGTTCAAGGTGTGCAGTGGCAGGAGGAGGAAAGAGAAGAGAGTCATGCACCAGCACATGCACGTTTCCTCTCACATGGCAAAGGCCAAGGCAAATCCCATGGCCACCCTATTGATGAGCACTGGAAATATTGGTGAGCATTCATTTTATCTACCACAAATCTCTTCTGTGGCACCAATATCAAGAGAGCCTTTGTAAGACTACTGCTCTCTCTCACCATGTGCCAACCAGTAAGAGAAAAACAAATGTAGTCTCATAAAAACAGCCTCGGTTGAGTGGAAAATCATTTTTGGAGCCATTTATTCTTCATGTGGTGGCTCCAAAAATGATTGACACCTGGTGACACTTAATGGTTCAGAAAAACAGATATTTGACTTTCTTTTTGACTATGGCTTCTGATGTATGTTAACCAAAGCTTTTAAAGAAGCTAAGGAGAGGTATTTAAGGAAGAACAGGAAAGAGCAGGATTCACTTAGGTTTGACCAGGGTGTATTTAGATCCATGATCTATTCCACACTGATATCTTGGTGACTGGCTTTGGATTCAGCCAACACAAGGGAGAGCAAGAATGAAAAGGAAATAAAACAAAATACGACTGCAGGAGGCCATAATGAGAATAGTATAACACTGCTGGAATTCAAACTATACTACAAGGCTACAGTAATCGAAACAGCATGGAACTGGTACGAAAACAGAGACATAGACCAATGAAACAGAACAGAGGCCTTAGAGTCAACACCACTCGTCTACAACCATCTGATCTTCGACAAGCCTGACAAAAACAAGCAATGGAGAAAGACTCCATGTTTAATAAATAGTGTTGGAAAAACTGGCTAGCAATGTGCAGAAAGCAGAAACTGGACACCTTCCTGTCACCCTATACTAAAATTAACTCCAGATGGATTAAAGATTTAAGCATAAAACCTAACACCATAAAAATACTAGAAGAAAACATAGGCAAAACCATACAGGACATAGGCATAGGCAAGGACTTCATGACTAAAACACCAAAAGCAATGGCAACAAAAGCCAAGATAGACAAATGGGATCTAATTAAAATTCAGAGCTTCCGTACAGCAAAAGAAACCACCATTAGAGTGAACTGGCAACCAACAGAATGGGAAAAAATTTTTGCAATCTACCCATCTGACAAAAGGCTAATATCCAGAATCTACAAAGAACTAAAACAGATACACAAGAAAAAAACAAATAAGCCCATTTAAAAGTTGGCAAAGATATGAACAGACACTTTTCAAAACAACACATATATGAGGCCAACAAACATAAAAAATGCTCATCATCACTGGTCATTAGAGAAATGCAAATCAAAACAACATTGAGATACCATCTCACACCAGTTAGAATGGCGATCATTAAAAAATCTGGAGACAACAGATGCTGGAGAGGATGTGGAGAAATAGGAACACTTTTACACTGTTGGTGG